GGTGTATATATTTTCGTTGTTGTTAATTTTGCAGATGGGATTGTTACTGCTGAATGCTGAATAATTTCTCGTCGAAGAAGTATTAGATGTTTTTGAGGTTAGATTAACATTACGTCATTGGAATTTTGATGAAGTTATTGATGTTGTCGATTCCTTATGCAACGTGTTTATGTTCATTTCGTTATTGATTCGAAAATCTGATATTTTTTGGATGTAGTAGTAATAATTCAAACTCTGTTTGAATTTTTGGGTAAATAAATGGCTTCTATTGATTTGTGAACGTCGTCATAGCACGGTCCGTTATTTTCATAATCATCATTATCATCAATTCTTATCTGCGTTAGCGTGGTCGTCGTCGTCATCATCATCGTCATCATTCCTCATCATCGTCATCATTCACGACAATCACAACGATTTTAAGTATTATCTTTGACCTCATCAACAACAAACAATATCAGTTTCTTCAGCAGATTGTTATGATGACGTTGATGAAGAAGAAGACAACAATAATAAGGAAGATGATGATGACGAAGATGATGAAGAGGATGAAGAAAAAGATGTAGGCAATGTAAGCCACTAACAAGCGGATTGTGAGGATGAACATTTAAATCAGCTGATGCCTCCTAAAATGCTGTGCTCCCCTCGTTCGGATGCGTTCACTTTAATTGAAATATATTCCATTCTAAATTAACTGCATACTGATTAAATTGAAGGAATTCATCGTTCTTCTGTCTTATCTGAATTGTGTGTTTGTCTGAGTGAGTGTGTGTTTGTGTGTGTGTGTGAGTGTAATTGTGTGTGTGAGTGTGTGTGTGAGTGTGATTGTGTGTGTGTGAGTGTGTGTGGGTGAGTGTGTGTGTGAGTGTGATTGTGTGTGTGTTAGAGAGAGAGCTTTTGCGCTTGTGCCAGCTTATGCGTGTTTTGAGTTGTTTCACGGTTGTTTCTGTGCGTGTTTGACTGTATCATCCTTTATACATGATTGTGCAGACAAATAAAGTGAACATCAACCATTTGTTGAATTTAAAAAGTTGCCAACGTTTCATTCAAATGAAATTTGAAATTAATAAAAAGTTTAAACTGTTGAAACAAGGGCAGTTGTTCACAAAAAAGTTTGCACTCGAAGACTATTCAAATTCTATTTTTTTCAAAATTGAAAAAAGAAAACAAAACAAATTTTATTTAAAAAAAAAAGAGTATGAGAAACAAACCATCCCAGTATAGGCAGGTACTATCTGACTTGGTGGCTACACTCAAAAGAGTTCTACGTTAAGGCGCCTGTATTTTATTGCTGCAGGACGGTAGATGTGAGTCAGGGATGGTTATCTCAATTATTTATGCCCCTACCATCCAAATATTCATTCGATTTTGTACCTCTGGAAGACGAGTGTGCAAAAGTTTAAAGATTAATTATTGTAATTGGTTTTTTTTGTCAAATTTTGGAATACGTGAACAGGTCACTGTTTATAATTCTAATAAATAATTTAAGTTGCCATCCTTTGTATATTTTGTTCTATTTTATTGCAATTTATTTTATGGTGCCCAGCGAAGTTAACATTAATTTTAGAAAAACGGTTTGTATTGAGTTTTTTAAATTGAATGAATTGCAAAGAGTTTTTATTCAAATGAATTACAAAATTTAGAGTCAACAGCAACTAGCACAACAACTGCACTAACCAACTAACAACAACAACAACATCAACAACAACAACAACAACACCTGCAACAGATAATTACAATAAAACATCATTAGCGATTTCTTTATTACTTTGGAAAGAAAAATTTGGGAAGAAGTCAGTAATTGGAGGGAAATAATGGATGTGTGAGTTATTGGCGGTCGATCGTCATACATTTGCACTTTGATTCGCGCCTCCTCCTTCGATCGTCCTTCCAGTGAAATGCGTGAACCTCACTCCTTACAAACCAGCACATGCACAGGTGTTGTGGAAATTGTGTACATGGTGGTATTAGTAATATTATATATATATATATATATATATATATATATATATATATATATATATATATTCTATTTATTTGTGTATATATACGTATACATATTATACATACACACATTTATATATATATTATATATATACCTAAATACATATATATGGTTATACGTGTATATATACAAATAAACCCATATCTGAGTTTTTACGTGGTGAAATTGCTAGCAAGAACTGACAAAAAATGCATAAATTACATAAAATGATATGTTCATTTGCAACAAACAACAACAATGTTGGCAACAGAAAACAAGGCGTGACATTAATAGAAAGAAACACTGAAACAATAATTACATTGAGAACATGGCGTCAACCAGTGTAATATTAACAACAACAACAATAAAAGCAACAACAAAATTCACGCCAACAACAAATCCACCAAACATGACACGAACAACGGAAATGACGTCAACAGCATTTACTCCACAGACATGACATCGCTAGCGACTATGACATCAAAAAAAAACAACAGCAAATATGACATCAGCAACAACCACAACAACAAAAGTGACATCATCATCATCAGCAGCAGCATCAGCAGCAATAAACGCAGCCTCAGCAGCAGCACTCCGAATAATTTCATCCTCCAAACTATCAGCGTCGTTTTCATCGCTTGTAATAATAACAATAATAATAAAAACAATAGTAATAATAATAATAATATATCTTGTTATTTTTTTGGTATTATTATTTCTATTGACATCAAGGTCATGTCTTTTGATTTCGCTTTTGTTTTCTTTCACAACCGCGATGTAGTCATACCTCTCTTACTCTTTCCAGCCGCACCAAAATGATGGTTTTTTGGTGGCCAGAGTTTATTACACAACCGTTTATAATTTCAACTATTTTGTAACATTTTTTCAAATCATCGTTCCTTTTATATTTAATCGTTAGTGTCATCAGTGTCAGCACCATCTTCGTCATAACACCATCACCATCATCTTTTCATTTTTAGTCTTATTATTATCAGTATCATTTCATCCTCATCATCGTCCTCATCATCGTTATCATCTTCCTCATGTTCTTCTTCTGATATATTCGCCACGATAAGGTTGACAATATATGGGAGTGACTAGGAGAAGTTTGATTTAGAAGTCGTCTGAGACGGACGGAGCGGACAATCACGTTCCTCTTACGTACTGCCTCCTCTTGTATTTCCATTTCTCCTTCTCGTCTATATCTTTTTTTATTATTATTTGTATCTTATAATTTGCATCGCTTATATTTCCATTTGTATCTTGTCGATTGCATCCCTTGTGTTTGTATTTGTATCTCATTGATTGTATCACTTGTGTTTGTATTTGTATCTCATTGATTGTATCACTTGTGTTTGTATTTGTATCTCATTGATTGTATCCCTTGTGTTTGTATTTGTATCTCATTGATTGTATCACTTGTGTTTGTATTTGTATCTCATTGATTGTATCCCTTGTGTTTGTATTTGTATCTCATTGATTGTATCGTTTACATTTAAATTTTCTAAAAGTCAAACTAATTCAAAAACTGGCCTTAAGGCTTTTTCTTGATAAAAAGCAAGTTCAACCAAGTGAAACATTTTACCTCTCTAATAATTGTACAAATTTTCATTAAATTAGTTGTAGCACTTAAGGAATATAAAGAGTTAACTTGGATGTGTTGTCCTTAGATTTATTATTCGATTTATTATACACAGATATCTTTTTTGATTTTTTTCTTCCAAATAGTTAACAGCCAGTTTAATAATCTTATGCTTTCATCCAAACTTGATTTTTTTAATTTTGTTTTTTTTTAAAAAATATTGGGAAGTATTTGTTGCACGTAGACAATTGACATTACAATACATCTCATTACATTACATCTCATTACATTACATCGCATCACGTCACATCAACATTGCATCGCATCATGTTCTTCTGATTCCAATCATGGAAAACTTATCCAGAATTTATTGCTCCGAAAGTTTAAAACGTTTGATTCGACGAAGATGCAAATTTGAAAAAAAAGACAAAGTCTCCAACGACGTCCGTGATGTCAACAATGCAAAAAATCGCAACGTTAACAGTTTCAAAAACAGCCTTTACACACAAATGTAGTTTATACACAAATGTAGAATGAAATTGTTGATAAAAATTAAAAAAACTTAAAAATAAAAATGCAACACGTTTGAACATAAAACAAAGAATGATCAAAAATAAAAAAAAAGTGAACGAACGTCGGAGAGCCCGGTAGGAAAGAAAAGAGCATAAACAAAAACAAACGATATTAAGATGTTGGACAAGGATGACGTCACACAAAGAATCACGTGATTGCATGTTGTTGTTGCTGTTGCTGCTGTTGTTGTTGCTGTGGTGGTTATTAATGTTTTTGGTATTTGTATCGTTGGTTGAGATATTGTTGTTGTATTACAATGTTGTTGATATTAACGTTGCTGATGTTGTTGTCATTTTAAATGGTCTCATCTTATTGTTGTAAACGTGGTTATTGATGCTTGTTTGTTGGTATTCATACTACTACTTGCCGTAACACATATTCTGTTGCATAATTTATTTTTGTTGATGTTTTCAAAAATCTAGAAGCTGACTGATTTTAAAGTTGATTCCCTTAATTGCTCAAGTTTGCTATCGATATGTTTGTTTGGTATAGTCAGCTGCTTTCATTAAACATATAGTAATAATTTATGACCATTAATAATGATTTATAATAATTTTTAATGATTTATGTATATTTCTGGCAGTATTTTGCATAAAAATGCTACTACTTTTTAGTATTAGTAACCAACTGAAAAATGTTTTTGGCATACGGAAGCACTGCAAATTCACAACGGATAAAGATTTTTACATTTTAAATATTTTAACATACGAGCTTCATCGATTTTAACCATTAATCTTCGACAAATTGCTTTTTTATTTTTCCTCATCATTTTTAAAATGAAAGATGTTTCAAGCGACTTTTACTCTTCTATGATATTTTAATTTGTCCTCAAGCAAAGCAACACAAAAAGTGCAACCTGGCTGTTTAACAACTGTAGAACGAGACAAATTTTATTCTTCGTCTCCATTCAAGTTCATTGAACCATACGCACGTCTTCAGACCAGATGTTTTGATGATGTGTTTGTCTGTGTACACGTGTGTGTTTGTTGTGTGTGTTGTGTGTGTGTGTGAATGTGCATTCGAATGCGTTTGATAAGAACTTGATACACATATAGATGTAGATATTCTATTGATTATAGTATTCGCTAGTTTTCTTTCACTAAATTTTAAATTTTGTTAATCGTTGAGTATTAATTTGTTGTTTGTATGTTTGTTACAGTGGTAAAAAATATTATTTTACCATGTAAAATGACCTAAAAGAAATGAAGTTTGTACGTTGATCTGGTGCATCGTTTGTTGTTAACAAGTGTTTATATATTCACACACTCACACAAACACGTATGCACACCACATAACACCACACACACACACACATACGTCTATGTGTAAACAACAAGTGTATACACACATATATTTGTACACACAAATAACTTGTACGTGTGCGATTGTGCCCGTGCGTGTAAGCCTTGCGGGAGTTCGGATGGAAGTTTTATAGATGACTGCGTTGTAATGCAAGAAGCATTAAATTAATATAAATGTATATAATCGTGCAAGCATACGTCTATCTGTGGAGATAGTGGAGATGGAGATGGAGCACACAGGTTGGTTGTACGCGCAGGTTTATGTATTTCCATTTTTAATACGTTACAATTAGACTCCTTCCTGTACGTTTATTTGACTAGAGGTGTGCGGAGACATATTTAGTTAAACACTGCATATACACAACACACACGCACACTCTTTCTCGCTCTCGCTCTCTCTTTCTCATTCTCTCTCTCTCTCTCTTTCTCTTTCTCTTTCACACACACACACACACACACACACGCACATATCATACAAACTTGGACATTTGGTCGTCGAGTTAGCACAGTTAGTAAAAGTGCCATGTCTCGCGCAGTTACACGATGGCCTGGTTCGAATACTGTCTGTCGGTCGAAGCTCAAAGAATATCATACGCCATGCGCGTGCATACATAATGTGAACGTACGTCCTGTGATGTGGTGTGGGTAGTACAGTCTTCGTGGCAAGAAGGTCTAAATACAGGGCTTGTATGTAAGCGGTTCTGCGTACGTCAGAGCTGCATGAGAAAAAAGAAAAAAAAATTAATACTTAATAATGAGTGAAGTGTGTTATAAAGTAACTACAATCAAGAAGATAGAGTAGAGTCATGTCAAAGTTTCGACGCAACCCAAGAGCGGATGCGGTCATGGTTGGAAAATTGTTTTATCACTCATTGAAAACCAGCCGACCTGACAAGTTCAAAGGCAAGGTCAAATGAAGCCACAGCCAGTTTAGTTGTATTATAAAGTGAAACAACGCAACTTTGCAAACAAATATTAACTGAAAAAAATAACGTGTAAAATAAAATGAAAAAATAATTGAAAAAAAAAATGACGTCAACAACTGTAGCATCCCTGCTAAAACAACAAAATTTTTATCATTCTCAGTAATAATAGTTGCAGTAACAACAACATCAACAGCAACAACAACAACAATATAATAACAAAATAACACATCAACAAAAATAGCAGCAACAGCAGCAGCAACGACAACAACAGTATCAACAACAACAACGACGACAACAGAACGTAGCATTGCAGTAATGATATGGAGCATCACCATAAACTTCAACAATCGTCCAAGGTACACTTACGTCTTGTCTCCCCGCCACTCTGCTTATTACATCCACGCCTGTCTCTTTCTCTCCCTCTCTCTTTCTTTCTTTTTTTCTTTCTCTCTCTTTCTCTCTCCTCTTTCTGATTGAAAATGTTTGTTCATTCTTGTTCATCCTCTTGTTTGTGGCTGTTCGTCTATTTGTTTGTGAACGAATGTTCGTTTGTGTGTAGATGTTTGTTCATTTTTTCGTGGATGTTGGTTTGTCTGTTTGTCATTGTTTGCTCATCATTTTTTTGGATGTTTGTTCATCAATTTGTTCGTAAATATTTGTTCAGTTGTTTGTGAATGCTTGTTCATCTGTTTGTCAGTAAATGTTTGTTCATCGTTATCGTTTGTGAATATTTGTTTTTTCTTCTGAGGTAGCCAATCTACCCTGCTTTAGATAACTTATAATTTTTCTTATCATTCAGGTTGGCGGATACAAATGGCTGTTGTTGGCTTGGAATTTGCTGCTTACTCTCAGATATTTTAATTTGTTTTTGTAAACTTTAGCGCATTAACATTAATTTACTTTCTTCATCTGTTATAAAATTAATTTTATAAACTTTCAAAATCAAAACTAAATTTAAAGAAAATAGAACTCAACAATATATCAAAACTCTTCAAATGCAAACAAACCGAACATCATGTTTTGTTTATTTTTTTCTTCACTTCCCAGCAAGTGATTATTATCACGCACTAAAAACATTTTTAATGTTAATAAAAAAAATTTTTATGCAAACACCGGCTTAATATACTCTGTACTCACTTTCTTCATTTTTATGCAGTTATGGAGTGTTTATGGACTGAATGCGTTTTGTAATGTTTTGCTGTTGATGTTGTTGTTGTGTTTTTGATGTTGTTGTTTTAGATTAGAAATACAAAACCGATGTTTTAGTTGTTAATGCAAATACGAATGTTGTTGTTGTTGTTTATTTGTTCCTATCGATCTGTTTGGCAGATAATGGCTAGATTAATAGTTGCGTCTTTCAAATGTGCGTTGTTGTCTGAACAAATGTGAAAGAATATATCGCAGACTGAATTCTTTGTTTGCAAATTGCTTGTTTGTTTGTTGTTGTTGTTGCAGTTGCCGTTTCTTGCACTTGGTCTTATCTTTTGATCAAAATATATTAAATCTAATCATTTTTGTTCGGTAGATTGTTCAATGCAGACATACACTAACATAAACAAATTTTTAAATGTTTTTCGAACCTTTTTTGTATGTTAAGATTTTTTCATTTTTTTAACAGAACAGAGTTTTCACATGGTCATGATGTGTACATGTTGTGATTAATTTGATACAGATCAGGAATATTTTATTTGGTATTACAAATGAAATAGTGCGAAAATTATTTAAAATTTTTCAACTGTGAAGACAAAAATAAATGAAAGAGGAAAAGAAGCTGATGAAAAAAATAGTTGAGGACGGCAATTATGTTCATCACATGGTGGCTAGAGGTGTTAAGAAGATTCTTTCCCCGGTTTCTCCTCCTCAATTTTAATGAGGATTATTTGCTGCGCTGGTGTCATTTCTCCGATGCAGAATTTAAAAAAAAATATGAATCTCTGTAGAACTTGAGAAAATTAACAACGAAATTAATTATATAACAACACCTTCATACGCGAATACTCATACCTACACACACCACAGACTTAAACTTTCAGTCTCTCTCTCTCTCTCTCTCTCTCTCTCTCTTTTTTTTTCTCTCTCTCTCTCTTTTTCACACATACACACATACACACCAACGCACATCCACAAACAAACACACACTTATATTCTTAAAACAAACACACACCTATACTCTTAAATAACATATATGCAAGTGTCTGTGTGATGTTAATGCATATGGAAAAAGCGTTTATAAATATCGGGATGAGCAGGATGTATGGATGCGAGTTGGGATGAAAGGAAATAAAATGTGAGAAGGCAAATAATTTAATTATCTGCTAGCATGAGTTTATAAGCATTTATTACAAGGTAGGTGCTTCAGTTAAACGTTCGTTTCCTAAGATAATTTTATAAAAAAAACTAGCTGTAACAAAAAACAATTAAGGATGATTGAAATAAATTGAAATATTTAAGTGAAATAAATAAATAAAAATAGTCCATTACAATTTTGAAGAAATGCAAATTTAACATCAAATATAGCAATGTAATAAAATGTATGATAACTCGACGCTGCATACAACTTAGTGGTAATGGTACTGCTGCTGCTACTGCTTTGAAGAGAGTTCGTAATATAGAGATGCGATATAAGTTCCTTCCATGACCTTATCATGAACCTGGTACAACTGGTGCATACATCGTGCGCTGTCCTAGGCATACATCTCTGTGTGTGTGTGTGTGTGTGTGTGTGTGTGTGTGTGTGTGTGTGGGTGTGTGTGTATATGTGTGTATATGTGTGTATGTGAATGTGTGTATATGTAAATTTATTTTTAGTATATTGTATATTTATGATGGTATGACGGTTTGTATTTTTTGTTTTTAGATAAACGAGCAAGTGAAAGTAATTTTAGTATGTGAATTTTTTTTAGTGTTTCTGAGTGTGTGCGTGTGTGTGTCTGTGTGATGATAATAATAATGATAACAATAATAAAATAATTGAAATATGAATATTATTAGTGATAATAAAAATATAATATAAGCAATAATAAGAATTACATTAATAATAATAATAACAACAATAATAATAATATAAATAATATGAATGATTTTAACATAGAAATAATTCACTGGAGTTTAATTCCTGATAAGAAATGATGATTTATGCATTCATCAACGCCAGCATTATCATCATCTTCATCATCAGCCTTTTCATCTTCATCATCATCACCATCATCATCACCATCATCATCACCATCATCATCATCATCATCATCATCATCATCATCATCATCATCATCATCATCATCATCACCATCATCACCATCATCATCATCATCATCATCACCACCACCACCACCATCATCATCATCATCATCATCATCATCATGTAATATTAATAATTTTATATTATAATACTAACGAGAACGTTGTATAATTGTAATATGTGCAGTTATGGTCTGTATCGAAACTGACCAACCTTGTGATGTCATTAATGACGTCATCCTCACGCTATCACACGTCATTTATCTTTTGTTTTCATTACAAAAGTCATGCCCCGCACCATCATGCTCACCAACAAAAACACGTACAAACAAATACTCACACAAACACACCCACGCACACATACACACGCACACTTTCACACACACATAAACACACACACGCATATATTATATGTAGTTACTCAGTTACTCAGTTACTCATGGAATTTATTAGTGATTGTATATTCATCACTGCATCCGATAACACAAAAGTTTCACTACCATTGCAATCATTTCTTATATGCTATCACAACTTTCATCATCATCATTGTCTTCATCATCATCATAATCGACGTATAATCTCTGCCTTCGTCTTCATCATCATCGACATTACCACACATACACAAACAAACACACACGTACATTATATTCTTAAATTGCATATATGCGAGTGTCTGTTATTCATATTCACCATCACCATCATCATCACCACCATATTAATTATCTTCGCTATCTCTATCACTGTTACCATCATCATCGTCACCGTCACCATCATCACCACCATCCTCTTCATCATTATCGCCATCATCACCACCATCACTACCATCATCATATTCATCATTGTCATCCTCACCATCTTCGTACCAATCTTTACAACTCTCCCTGATATGATCGCAAATTTTCACACCTCATCACCTTCCTACATCTTCCTTCTTATCAAACAACTTCCTCATTGGCTGCCTGCCTGCCTGCCTGCCTACCTCATGAAAGCCAGCTCTATGACGCAAGCTGTTGGAATGTTTGAGTATTTGGTTGTCTGAATTAATACATAACTTAATGAATATATTGTGGAATGGATGGATGAATGAATAAATGAATGAATGAATGAATGAATGAACGGCAAATAAATGAATAAATGTTTGAATGAATGAATGAATAAATGAATGAATGAATGATTGATTGATTGATTGATTGATTGATTGATTGATTGATTGATTGATTGATTGATTGATTGATTGATTGATTGATTGATTGATTGATTGATTGATTGATTGATTGATTGATTGATTGATTGATTGATTGATTGATTGATTGATTGATTGATTGAAGCCTATAAATAATTTTATGCCATTGTGAATCGATTTTTTACATTGTATTTTTTAACATTCCACACATTTATTCACATTGCGTACTTACACGCACACGCACACACACATGCATACACGCACAAACATACACACAAGAACACACAGAAGCACACACACACATGTAGGCACATCGACTGAAGACTCGCCAACTCGGATATATCGTCAAGTACTAATGCATGTTCAAGTGTAAACAAGAAATTATTTATTTGCAGAGAATATCTTGCCATTTAACATGTCGCATCTCACTCTCTAGAACTGCGTACGTTTGCGTGTACGCTTGCGTGTACGTGTGCATGCATGTGCGTGCGATGATTGTGTGTACACCTGTGTATAACATGTTGTACGTGTGTCGCTTTTACTTTTATGCACACACTACTCGCCACTAGATCATACCTGCAATCATCATTTAACCTCCATTGATGATTTCCCTCCAGTAGATTTGTTTGTTGGAATTTTAAAAGTGGAGGAGAGAAACATGTCAGAATGAAGTTCTGCAACTGACTCGCGAGTTTGCTGCCAGTCTGCCTCGAGTATTTCCACTACCTTCCTTCATGGCCCTGATCTGAGACCATGTCTGTTTGCATACGTCCCTCCGTGTATGTGAGAATAAACATGAACGTATGTGCACGTACGGACGTATGTAAGCAGTAGTATGCGTGGTTATTTCGATTGTTGCTTGTGTGTCATTATTTTGCGTTGCAAGACATTTAATGTTACAATAACAATTTATCAATTCATTTGCAATCTCTGAATTTGGTAAAAAAAAACAGTTAAACCAACCATAGCGAACATAATAACCATCTTAAAATTTGGTGGCCATTCTGCAGGGCGTTCTTACGTTGACTCTGCATCGAGCTGAACAAATTAAAAGACCCGCGGATCGGTGTGGCAACTAATTTCTCCTTCTTATCAACTCCTGCCAACATTTTGAGAGGCACAATCGATCAAAAATAGATTGCTGTGATAGTTTTATGGGAAATATATAGAAGCGAATGTATGCATAAGTAAATATATAAAAATATAATTTTCATTTTAATATAAAAATTTAAATATAAATATAATTTAAATATAAAAAATAAATATATAATTTTCATATAAAAATACAATTTTCAAAATACAATTTTCATTTTAACGGCGAGTTTTCACTTTACGAGAAAACATGCCAGAAGCTTCAGTCATAACTTTTTTCTAATTTCTTGTTTGTTTTAAGTTTTTTTTTAATTTTTTATTTTAAAATAATTCAAACAATAGAAATAATTGTTGCGTTACGTTAAATTGTTATGCTGCGTTAAACGTTAATAAAACAAGATATGTTAGCAAGTTAAAAGCAGACCTATGTTCCTTTTTTGCGTGCACCTCATTACGTAAATTAGTGCGTCGCATGTATTTCTTTTTCTGAAATTGGAGAAAATTATTTTTCATTTAGTTTGTGGTTATACAAACTTACAGTAAATGCAGCTAAATTGGTTTATTA